TGACTATTTACGGAATACATGCCTACATTATATTTATGAACTGAGGCTAGTTCTGTGTTGCCCTAGGTTATGACTGTTATATGATAAATGTCATCCAACGAAATCACCGACCTAATGCCTATGAGTTTTTCACATATTGTTCTTGCTAAGTTACTACCGTTGCTACTGCTGTTACAACTGCTACATAATTATTGCTACCGCTGTTATCATTACTATTACTGTTACCACTGCTATCAAAAGTATCATACTACTATGCTACTGATCACTTTGCTGCAGATATTAAATCTCCAGGTGTGGTTGAATTGAAAACTCAACCACTAATACTTACAAATATTCTTTGGCTCCCCTTGTGTCGAATCTATAAATTTGGGCTGAATACTCTACCCTCAAAATCTGTTGCTATCCCCTATACTTGTGTTATATCAGTCAGTTCATGTTTCCTGCATGTTTTCAGTTTTGTAGAAAATCAATATCTAGGAAGGTCAAAATACACCAACAATTTAATATGATTTTTCTGGAATATATGTGATTTTTGGGCGAATGAATCAACACAAGACAGTGCCCAGGGCCCACACGGCCAAGGGGCGCGCCCACCCCTTGGGAGCTGGGAGGCAGTGTGGCAGTTCCTTAAGTCGGTTGGAGCCCTTCTTTCGTCGCAAGAACTTTATTGGGGTAATCCCCTCAAAATTTTAGCCCAATTGAAGTTACGGATCTCGAGTATAAAAGAAACGGTGTTTGGCCAGAAAATAGAACCGAAACATAGAAAAAAGAGGGGTGATCCCATCTTAGAGGGGCTCTCGCCCCTCCGGGAGCCATGGTGGCCAAAGTAAGAGGGGTGATCCCATCTTAGAGGGGCTCTCGCCCCTCCGGGAGCCATGGTGGCCAAAGACCACAGGGGATAACCTCTCCCCATCTAGGGGGAGGCCATGGAGGAAGAAGCCGGAGGGAGCCTCTCTCCCCTTCTGGTGGCACCGGAGTGCAGCCAGGGGAACCATCATCGCGGCGATCGTCTTCACCAATGTCACTGTCTTAACCTACATCTTCATCATCTTCCTCACCTTTTTTCAACGGTCCACTCTCCCACAACCCGTTGTATCCCCTACTTAAACATGGTGTTGGACGCTATGGATTATTATTATGGTGATTTCTTGCATCTTCTTTGTGTCTGAGTAGATTATTGTTGTCCTGTGAGTTAACTGATGCATTGCCATGATTGGTTTGAGTTGCTTGTGGTTATGTTACTATCCTTTGGTGCCCATCATATGAGCGCATGTGGACAATACCATAGGGTTAGTTTACGTTGATAGGACTATGCATATGGGGGTAGGAGTGACTGAAACCTTGTCGGACCATGGAAATTGATACATACATGATTGAAGGGGGGCCAATATATCTTAATGCCATGGTTTGTCTTACCTTAATGAAGTTGTTAGGATGCTTGCTAATATTTTCAATCATAAGTACATAAAATTCTAAGGGGTACTATGTTAGCGGAGGCCTTTCGCACATATAAACTTGCAATAATGATTAGTTTAGTAACTTAGTTGATTGCCCGGGGACCAATATCACACATCATACCACCACTATTTCACACTTGCTATTTGTATTATATTGTACTATTACTTAGGCAGCACCTAATTTTTATGTTTAAGTTCTCCGTTATTTCGCAAAGCTACCACTTTATACTCGCAACGTAGTTTTATTTCTTGTTTCTTAGATAAAACAAACACTCGGTGTACGTAGGATTGTATCAGTGGCAGATAGGACCTGACAGAATATTCATTTTACCTTTAGCTTCTTATGGTTTCAACACTCCATCCTTATCGCCTCCATATTTGGGAAGTGCTACGACAATTCCTTGCACCTGGCGATTATCAGAAACATGGAGAAAGAAGCCACATCGATTCAGAACATTAATTATTATTTAGAAAAACTAACGCCCACACGTGTGGTAACTTGCACATCGCCCACACGCCTCCATCACCACTTATTTTGCCATGTATTAATAGATGACATCAACAGGAATCTTTTTGGTTTACGGCTTAAAATGTTTTATCTTCTAATTAATAAATCAAATTAAAAATCTGTTTTCACCATTAAATCCGTCTCGATGAGATCTTCAAAACTAGATCCAATGTTGATATGTTTCAACGAATATTTTTTTGCCCAAAAGATGCCACGATGTTTACACTGTAGTTGCCATAGTGTTTAAACTAAAATTGCCATGTGGCAATTTTAGTTTGTAGAGCATGGCAATTTTAGTTTTTTGATAATGGCAATTACAGTACTTTGACCATAACAATTAGTTTTTTTATGAACCATGGCAGTTTTAAGTGCATGTATCATGGCAATTTTAGTTTATGGTTCATGGCAAGTCTAATTTCTTAATTTCATGTTTTATAATATGTCAAAATTTACTTTTAAATGTAGAAGAAAATAGCTAAAACATATCATGGCAACTTCAGTGTAAACATCATGGCAATTCATGTGCAATAGACATGGCAACTTTTAACCAAAAAAATCATCGAAATATATTTATATGAGATCTAGTTTCAAATATCTCGTCGCAGGGGATTTAATGGTGAAAACGGATATTCAATCGGATTTTTCATTTAAGAGATAAAACATTTTAAAAACTAAAAATCCAAAAAGATTCCCATATGCATGCATCCGGTGACGTGGCATAGACTGTGTGTTATAGAGCGTGTGTGCGGCTTTGGCTCACACCACACGTGTGGGCGTTAGCGTTGTCCTTATTATTTTACACAGTAAAATCCTGATCTATTAATTATTTGTCATGACGGTACAAAGAAAAATAGAAGTGATAAAAATTACATTTAAGTTCGTAGGCCACCTAGCGACGATTACAAGCACTGGAGTGAGCCGAAGGCGTGCCTCCTTCATCGCCCCTCCCTCGCCGCATTCAGGCAAAACTTGTTGTAGTAGACAGTCGGGAAGTCATCATTCAAAGGCCTCACAAGACCAGCGCACCCATCTCCAATGAAGAGAAACGTAGATCAGAAGTATCCAAGTTGTAGACAAATGAACGAAGACTGCATCCATGTCAACCAATACCTACCGAATCCCGACAAGATCCACCAGAGATACACCTCCACATGCCCTCCAACAACGCTAGAGCCACCGCCTGGACGGGGGCTAGGCGGGGAGAAAGTTATTACATCCTCAAGGAGTTGTCACCACACCTTTCGGGGCAGTACATAAACCCTAATCGACCTAAAGAAAAAGCCTTAAATCAAAGCAAGAATCCTCCCGTTGGCAAGGTCTAGGGTCCACCGTGCCTCCGTGGCCACAAGAACACCGAAGATGAGGCAGGCTGATGGCAACGCTAGCAGGATGTCAAGAAACCCTAATTGCATGTGCACTCCAGCCAGAAGGCGAAGGGGTCATAAATAATTTTTAGGGGCATTAATTATTGGTAATGTCAAAAATCAAAAGTCGGACCTTTAGGCATGGAAAATCAAATGTTTTTATGGCAATTTATGTGTCGCGAGGATGGTAATGTACTTTAGAAAGCCCAGTAAATCATTGCAGAAAATGATCATGGGAAGGTTTTTCCATGCTTTCTAAAAATGTTGTCATCCTCGCGAGAACATAATCTACCAATAAACATGTTTGATTTATCATACTAAAAAATTGTAGTGAAATTATTAAGTATACTAACATAGAGCCCCATTCTCTTCTTTAATTGATGTGCCACATCGACATTTGGCCTATAAAATTATGCTAAGAGACTATTAACATAACATATAAATTTAATAAAGATCTAGATCGACTAAATTCATGAACAATTTAGCTGGGGCAACAGTCGATCCAACAGTTTCCAATGCTTGAACATCTCATTCAAAGATTAAATATGCTTCGTTGTAGGCAAGGTCTCTGATTATAAAGAAATGATCGGATAGCCTCCTCTGCAAATGGAGGTAGGGTTTTGTCAGATTGACGCAAAATTATAGTAAAATTTTATACTTACTATACTACTGTGTTAGTATATTTTTCATTACTTATTGACATACTTAACAATAACAAAAGTTAAATATTAGTTGTATTATTTATTTATTATATACTAGCAAAAGAGCCCGTGTGTTGCAACGGGAGAGAAAACATAACACACATTCTTAACTCAACAACCATCACTCAAGACCACAATAGGTCCATCTCCTTTATTTTTGCGAGGCATCATATTTACTAGATCGGCAACGCGCCCTGGCGCGAGGGTGCCGGTTCCAACGATATGGTCAAGTGATGGAAGATCAAACGGCATGATGCATTTACATAAAGGCAAGTTTAGAACATGTAACAGGATAACCGATTATCAGGTTCAGGGCTAAGAAGAAAACATTGGCACCAGAGGCGATACAACTATAAAGCCATAGTTAGGCATACAATAGATAGCTTGGTTCAATTGCCTCCATGAGTGCCATTCCATTTGAGATGCGACGCGAAAAATGACCAACAAAATACCAATGACGTTTGTCCTGCTTCCGGATGCCTCTGTTTTGTGCCCACCAAATTTGACAAAATTTCTCATAATTATTAAATATATCACTTTACATATGAAAACTGATACATGCACACATATGTAATGAAATTAAACTTGACTAATGCAACAACAGAGTGAAAGTCTCATGAACACTGGAAGAAATGTTACAAATGTTCTGCATCCTTTTGACACTACCAATCCAAAGTGATCGTTTCTATGGGCAATTTTTTTCACAAGCCTTATTTAAATTATGTGTTTGATAAATAACACTGGCTCTGAACTGTACATGACCATAAAAAGTGCATACATAGATCATTTTCCTGTGATAATATGATATACAAAAATCCTTGATAAATAAAGTGTATCTATGTCAATAGTACTTTCTCCCTCCCGAAATATCTGTCGCAACGAACACACATTTTGAACTAAACATCATTTTTCAATTACATCCTTATACAATTCAAAAGTTGGCGATCCGCTCCTCCCTCTCCCTCGTGATTCACTCCTTCCTCTCGTCGTCGCCTCCAGATCTCGCCGCTGGCTCCAGGCCTCTGCTCCTCCCTGCAGCTCCAGACCTCTTCTGCCCGCAGCTCCAGGCCTCTGCTCCTCCCTGCAGATCGCCCCAGGCCTTGCCCCAGGGAGCGCTCCGCAGGCCTCTGCTCTAGCGAGCTCAAGGCATGGGGGAGCTCCAGGCGAGCTACAGACATGGGGGAGGAGCAGCAAGAGGCAGTACCTTGCTGCCCCAGGTTTCTCGCATGGCCTCCCTAGGCTCCAGGAACCGCAAGGCCATGCTCCGGGCCATGCTCCACGCCCAAAATGCCTCCACCGCGCTCCAGGACGCCTCCTCTGCTACATGATGAGGAGGATGGTGAGAAACATGACTTGATCTATAAGAGAAGTTCTGTCTAATGTAACCTATAAATCGACAAGTTGGCTTGAAAATTGACAAATTGATCTCTAAGAGAAGTACGCCTGAAAAAATTAAAAATTACAGTACACATGCAAATTGATCCAGCTCTTGCAAATTGATCTCTCATTTTTTTGACCAGAGTTAAATGCCAATTTGCTATCAACATGTAATTCTAATTTCAATTTGGGGTTTTCTTCCATGTATGCATACAATCAGGAGTACAAATGATCTCTAGTTCTTTGAAATGGTGATTGTTGGCGTTGCATCACTGATGGTGTAGTATACTGTAGTGAAGAGAAAAATGCAGCAAAGGCAGGAAAGAGTTACTACTACAGGCGAAATTTGTTACTGCTATACCTTCTTAAGTGCGCAATGAACTCCTGCTTTGCCATGTGCTTCATCTCCTCCAGCAAGGCGGGAAAAAGTTACTGCAATGCAACACAAGGACCAGCATGAATCCATGAAGGAACTGGCACACGTCCACACGATGCAAAGCTTGAGCACGCAAGAGTCACCAAAATTGTGTGCATTGTGAACTGAATTAAAATTCAGTTGATTTACTCAAAATACATTCATGGCAGTAAAAAAGAAACCATGAGCAGAATCATGAGATGATGGCACTACATACTGTATCAAACATTTGTTGATACCAAACATGCTTGGAGTACTCAAACATTTAAATTCATAGGTACTGTGAATTTAACTCCATGTTTTAATAACTCCAACAAATTCAAAGTTAACTGAACATTTAAATCCATGGTGTGCTACTTGCTCTGAACATCCATGTTTTAGTAATGAATGCAACCAAGAGAAGCTCTTTAATCTCCTAAGGAGACAATAATGTATAGAAGAGAGACAGCCACCCCGTGTAAATTTGAGCACAACCATCTCAGAGAGCTAAACCACCTCTCCACACATTCTTTGCAAAGAAGTTTAGTGCCTAAGAAGAATATGATCTAAATTCACTGAAATAGGCAAAACATGCAAGTCCCAATTCCATTAAATCAAACAAACCTAAGGATCCAGCCGGTTTGAGCCATCCAAAATTAAACAAAAACGTGATGTGCGTGCGCGCACACACACACACACACACAAACAAGAACGAAAGTTGCAATAACCAAATTGGTGGGTGTGGACAAGCAGAGCATAGCATGAGAAGGAGAGAAAGCAGAGAGATACCTTGCATGGCGTCCAGTAGGGTTGGAGCAGCGGCGGCCCAGAGGAGCGAAGCGATGGTCTTCCCTTGCTTGTGCCTGCGTGCATCAGGGAGTGAGGGAGGAAGGGGAGCGGCCAAATCAAAACAAGCAAGCAGAAGGGGAGGGGGAGCAGAATAGAGACCTTGCATTCTCATTTTGTGGTGATGGAGAAGAAGCACATGGCTGCCAATGTCAGTGTCGTGGTTGTGGCCGAGGTGGATCCGGCCGGCGCCATGCTGGAAGCAAGCAGAGGATGGGCTACATCCCCATGCGAGACTTGGCCTTGTTTCATATGTTGGCCGGAGTTGTTGAATGTTTAAACATAGTCCTGTCGTGGTTAACAAACGGAGGTTATTACCATATGACATATGCTCTTGCATAATATTTTTTTCGTTCACTCTGTAAAATAGCAGGACATCATTGTACTTCATTTAATGTAAGTAAATCTTATTTAACCTAGCAAAATATAACGTGAATGTGTGCCTCCCACAAATTGATATATACAAATTCCTCTTGGTCAAGCAATAGAAATAGAGGAGATATTATTTGACGCTCACTGCCTCCAAATAATTGATCTAGAAAAATGAGGAGAAGCTCACCTAGGAGAAATAAGAATGCAACCTCATAGCCTCCGCCACTGGATGCTTCTCTGCAGAGGACTCGAACTTCCGTTGTGCCATCAAGGTCATGGTGAGCGCACCGGCCCTCTGTTGTTCATGTTATGGTGAGGGCACTATGGTTACGATGGACTGAACTATCTGTCAGTACAGCATGCGCCGTGGCCTTTGATGCCATATAAACCTAGCTTGGATGCCGAAGAATCATTTCGTTGAACATCTAACCTGCAAGAACCCACAAAGAGTACCCAGATTTGAGAAGCTTGCAGACTACACTTTCTGCGGAAAAAATGAAGGAATCAATCTTATTATTGCTGCATATTTTTTAGGAACACGTGAGTGCTACTGTACACTTGCTTGAAATATTGATAACATATCTCCAGTCCAAAAAAGAGGCGTTTTTCTTTCAAAAGCATATACTACTGCAGGCTGCAACAACTCCTATATCATGTATGATGTCGACCTGAGTGCCAATGCAAAGATAATGAATACAGGAATGGATTGAATTAGCATTCCTTATCTGAAAAAGGACTGAATTAGCTTCCTTTATATTCAAAAAGGACTGAATTAGATTCCTTTCCTAAATTAGATAACTACATCAAGGTGATACAAATACAATTGAACCACCACCAGTTAATTTAGTAATCAGTCCTATCAACCTAAGCTATGCATGCCTGACAAACACTAACCTTCACAGCACTTCACACTAACCTTCACAGCACTCAGAACCTCCTAAGGTAGATGTGCAGGGGGTAGGAAGAGGGGGTGGAGCTCACCACGAGATTAACTTCGGAATGTGGTATGAAATAAACACATGGGCAGAAGCTCTAGTAAGGCATTGTAATTGATGAAGCTAATGCACATCATGCCAAGGAGAAAAAGAAATATATTAACAAATGTGAATGCAGAAATATGTTGGAAGGCTCATTTGTCATTGATATTGGATAGAACCAGGGGTTCAAATACCAGCAGCCAACACCGCTAATTTTCTCTTAAACCAACATGCCCTTCTTTCAAAATGTTTAAAAATATCATCATTCGTGCTTTCGTCTTACAGTAATCTCCAGTACAGTGTATTAACTTGAAAAAGAGACGAACTAAATCAAGCTAGGCAATAGAAGAGCAAGAGGAGCTTACCCATCTTCTTCTTCCCGCGCTTCTCCAGATGAACGCCGGCGGCTCGGCTCGCGGCAGCGTTTCAGGGCAGGCGCGCGGGTAGCGCCGTCGTGGCTCACACAAGCAGTGCCACGGCCGTTTCGTGGCACCAACAGACATGGCCCTACAGATCAACAATTATTATAATTAAGAATATGAACAAACATGATCAAGTGCAGTTCAACAATCAGATAGGATAAGAATAACGAACATGCTATACACAATAATCATAATAAAAGAATAATAATTGAGGCCTCATCCTTAACTTGTAACAGAAAATTAAGCCTGCACTTGATCCTGATTTTTGCTAGTAATTAGTGAGTCCCTATTATTAGCAAAAAACGGACCAACATTTATGCAAATGGCTAGAGAACTGAGAAGAGAAGAAGAAAAGGGATCGACCTGCAGAACAAAGACCGGCGCAGCAGGACGAATCAACCAGAAGCACGAGCACCCGCAGCGGACCTACCTGCAAGGGAAAAAGAGCAGATCAAGGATGAGCTCCAGGCAACCACAACTGGGACGATTGGGAAACCTTGTAACCTCTCACGGTAGCAGACAATGGTAGGTCAATCGAATCCAGCACGGACAACACCAACTACGACAGCTTGAGGCGGTGGAGTTCAGGAGAAATCCCCGCATCTGATCCAAAACTCGATAAATAATGTTCCTGCAAATACACAGACCGCGCAGCATTGGTTTCTTATGCATTGAAAAACTAAGCATATAATTAAACATACAATGATTTGTACTTTGAAAACAGTAGCACACAACTGAACATTTTGGGCAAGTGTACAAAAGGCTTGCATAAACTTCTCAAATGAACAGTAATAACTACAAAGGAAAGGAATTCACAAATAGCATTGACTTGTGAACATGAATGTCTAACAGAACAATCATAACCAAAATCTGTGCATCTATTCCCAGTAAGAAGATATACTATAGAATCTAAGAACCAAAAATGCAGTGTATCCGCCCATGTGGTGGACTGGCCATGTCTGTCTAATCACCATGGATGATCCCGAACTATGAAAGCACCCTGCATACTTCGTTCAATATAGCTGGTTCGCTTTAAACCACAATGGTATATTCCCAATATCCACAGCCGCTAGACCAGACCATAATCATCTCAGAGCTGGACGGTGGGGGCGGGGGGGATTAGGCTACCTCAGTGATGATGGAGAGGACGATGATGTTGCGGAAGGTGCGGCAGGAGAACTGGGCCCGGCGACGCATCCGCGCATGCACGACGACCTCCTCCTTGGACAGGCAGTGCATGCGCTTGTCGTAGTTCTCGCGGCCGCCCCCGCCTACGTGTCTGCTTTCCCCCACAGTTTTAATACTGAAATTATTCCCACCTCCCTGGTTCCACCACTGGGACAAATTTAACACAGAATTAAGAACAAAAGAAAGGCCATCCAATCCCTCGAGTTTTGTCAGGACAATGCATAAATAAGAAACCCCTAATTAACTTGCAGAGTTGGTACCCAATCAACGCGATAGTTTCCCATTATTTGCAATTATGACTGCTTAGCAAGCATGTACAGTCTAGGTTGTACAGTAAGTAATTATTTGAGGAGCACATTGGCCCAATCTAAGTTCGGTGATGTAGAGACAGAGGTTTATCATAAAAGATCTCCCTTATAACGTAAAGCAATTCCTCTCCAAACAACCAAGAGCTTTAGTTGGTGCAGCGTTATCAACGACAGGCCATAATACAGGATAAACCAGGCCATTTTATTTTCCAGGTAAGTGCCCACCTTCCCAATAAAATCAGCTAAATATAGTGCACCGCAGCTCAACCGAGTTGCGTCAACTGCTGAGTCCAGGGCATTCTCCACAGGCGGCTTCTGCCGTACTTGCGCCACGAGAAGTCGTCCGCGGGGATCTCTGCCGCCTTCGTGCTGATTGCCGGCACGCGAGTCATCCGCCGAACCCGGGACTTCCTGCCGGTTCCATTCATTCAATCTTTAGCAACATGGATAACACCGGCAGACGAAGAACGGAACAACGAAATCCATCCCTGGGTGAATCGAATCTGCTAGACTACTAACCTGCGCTTGGAGCAGTGGCAGCGGCCACCGGAGGCGCCGTACTTTCCGCCGGCGACGTTCTCGGAGTGCGCGTGGTCGTGGCACTTGCGCTTCTGCCCGCCACCGGCGCCGGTGGATACCGCGGAGGACGCCAGCGGCGGCTTCCCGCAGCTGGCCGAAGGTCTTCTTCTCCCCTCCTCCTTGCCCTTGCCCTTGGCCTCCACCGATCTGGAGAGGCGACCTCCGACGAGGCTTGTGGCGCCCCCATCCTCCCCGGTGCGGTTGACCCACGGCGCCCACGCCTCCGGCAACCGTGGCACGAATCCGCGGAGGCACGCGCACACCCGGCGACGCCCTTCCTCTCTGGCCGCTTCCTTCACAGCGGGAGGATGGCCTGGGCGAGCGGCGGCGGCGGCGGCTGGCTGGCGCGGGCCTAGGGTTTGGACGGGGGAAGGGAGAGAGGCGAGGCGGGGGAAGAGGAGAGGGGTTCGCCCGAGTGGGGAGGCTGGTGGCGGCGGCGGCGATGTGGCTGCGGGAGGCGGGGGGAGGAGAGGAGGCGCGCGGGAGGGAGGGAGAGAGGAGGCGGCTAGGTCTCTGGACAGGAGCGCCCCCCTTTTATAACCCCAATACGCGAAATGACCAAAATACCCCGGTGGGGGCACGGTATTTACATTTTGCTGTCATTATTATTCATTCCAGCAGTGTCAATCCCAGATCCAACGGCCCAGGCTTCTCCAGATCTCGATCGGACGGACGAGAACGCATCAAGGGAACCGATCCGACGGCCGAGAGTGCCTGAGCTCTAAGGAGCCTTGTAGGAACATCCTTCTCTTATTTATTGATGTTGTCGCTTATCCTCCTTCTCACCCTCGCAGGCGATGGCCTCGTGTTCACAAAAAACGTGTGTTGAATATGATTAATCCTAAGACGTCTCTCTCTTCCTCTCTCCTCCCTCTCCACCTCTCTCTCTCGCTCGCTTTCTCTCACTCTCGCGATGAGAAATCTGTTGTTTTCCCCTGCGACATTTTTTAGAGGTATGCATGTGTAGTTATTGATATTTTCTTTTTCATATATGGTTATAGTAGGGCGTTTATTTGCAATCTGGATCGCCGCCGGTATGAAAAAACGGATCTTGCGCTATAAATTATAAGTTTGGTTCCATAAAAATATTTTTAAAAATATTTAACAGGTAAAATTAACATCATATTTAGATTTCACAAATTTTTCTAATAAAATTTCATATATAATATGTTAAAATCGAAGTTACGGTTTAAAAGATACAGATAATTTAGAAAATCATTTGGTTTGACTCAAATGTATTCCAAAATAATATTTAAAAATAGTTAACAGGCAAAAATAATCTCATATTTATATTCAACATATTTTTCTAATCACATTTCATACGTAACTTGTTCAAATCGGAGTTACGGTTTAAAAGATATGGATGATTTAAAAAATCATTTGTTTGACTTAAATATGATCCACGGATGAATTACCTAAAACATTAGGGGGGGTTTCGAAAAATGTAAAATAACGGTTCAGGCGTGACTTAAATCCGGACGGTGGGTTGATTTCAAGAAAAGACAGAAACTTTTGTGTAAAATACGAAAATAACGATTCATTTTAATCTAAAACAAGACTATGGGTTGAATTCTTTAAAATAGAGGGACTTTTCTAAAAAAAATCATGACGGACGAAAGAAATCCAATTTACTTTATTATTAGGTAAAGATTTGGAACATATATCATTAGAAAATACTCTTATATTGCGATGAATTCAGTTTCTACTATGTAACTTTTTTATGTTTTTCATACTTTGTAAATTTTATTATAGTTTATACATATTTATGTGAGATATCTCTAAAACATACTATGATTTAACAAATATCGTAACAATGCATATTTAATCATATGTGTGGGACTGCTTCAGATATACTCATTTTTTTAGCACGCATGTACAAATTTAACCATATGTGAGTGATTACACAATGTACACATTTAACCATATATTTATTAAACCATATATGGTTTAATGATATTCCCACATACTCTTTCTTTAAAGAAAATAATGGGCATACATATATGTATGCGTACACATCCATCAGTGATCGTAACAACATTAGGCTCATGGGTGTGCGGGAACTATCCAGAACGGCAGTGACTGAGATTGCTCCCGGTCCCGGGCAATCTCACCGAGCTCGCGTACTTCCTCCGTATTGAATCCAACTTCGTACACGTACATGCGGCCGTCGTAGGGGTGTATCCAGTACACGCTGTTGGGCAGCTGCCCAAACTCGTTGGCCGGGCACCAGCCTGCGAAAGCGTAGCTCGAGCCGCCGGCGAGGATGGCCCGGTCGCCAATGCTGCCCACCCTGATAAACCTCTTGCCCGCGAGATCCACCCTGTAGACGGCGATGTCAACGATGGCTCCACTTGGCCCAAGGCATTTGCCCCTACTCCCTTTATTTTTCCGGTTGTATGTTTAAAGCCCGTGTGTGAGAAACAGATATGTTATTAGCCCACCAGCGAGAAGCCCATCTGTATACAATCAGGTGGTTCTAGATAGAAACGAATTAAGTTTAGGTCGAGTTTGAGATGCGTTCGTCGCCTGATCTACTGCTTGCATGACCGCCGCCACGACCTGAAGCCGTCGCGCTGCCGCCTGCTGCTCTACGCTGCACATACAAGACGCCCCTCTAGCGATCAACCGGCCGGCCGGCCGACTTGCCATCCCCATGGAAGAAACTGTACTGATCTATCATTCAATCAAGGTATAAGCCCTAGGTTTAGACTTTTAGTTCTCTCTTTTTCTAATTTCCACATTATTATACTATTCTGATTTCCGTGTTTTTACGCAAAAAAAAATCCGTGTTACAAAGGTAGCATATTGTATCAAATATCCATGTGTATAAATTTGACTTATAAATTGGCAATTAGATTAATTGAATCTAGATTCACGTCATAATTTCGTATAAATTTCACTTTCAAATTTGGTTGGCTTTATAAATGATCGAGCCATTATCTCGTATCCATGTTTCTGAAAGAAAAAAAATTATATATATCTTTGCCCCCTCTCGTTTTTCGTCCTGGGCACGCCGTACTCGGCCGCCCTGACCGACCAGTAGAACTTGCCGCCGCACGCCGCGAGGCCAGACATGAACCGCTTCGCGAATTTGCCCCACGGGGTTCGCACGCCGCCCAGGTCGTACACGTACCTGTCCCACGGCGACGGCGTGCCGCCGGCGTGGCAGTACCACATGGTCGTTTCATCCGAGCTCGACCTATACCGCTCGAGAACGACCATCGTGCAGCCGCCGGGATCCGTGGGCTCACCAGACAGCGCGCCGTCGGTGCCTGACGCCGGCGGCGAAGCCCGCGGCGGCAGCGCGATCTTGTCACCATCAGAGGCGGCGGCCCGCGGGTTCCACAGGATGGTGGCGAGCGTCGCCGGGTCCCAGAGGAGCAGCCAGCCGCGCGATGTCACCCAGCTCCGCTTGCCGCGCAGCACCTCCTCCATCTCCTCGCAGGGGCGGCGCGTGCCGTCCGAAACGCTATACAGTGTGGTGGCATGTTGGTCATCGATGTGCCCGAAGACGAGGCACGACAATGAAAACACCCTCGCCATGGATGTGCGCCTGCTTGCGGTTGCGATCCCACGGACGTTGTTATCTGTCGTGCGCGCGTGTCACCCGCCGATGCGATCGGTAAATCCCCGTCATGCGTCACTTTATATAGGCGCGCATGTGACGGGGCATGGGCCGATCGATGACGAGTCGGTGTCGTGCCCCTCAAGGATTCACTAAATCCACGTGATACTCGAAATCAGTTTTAAGAACACATTAGCTAAACGTCACTTTTAGCTAATGGGTCGGTCGATTTTGGGATTCCTGAAGAAATTCGCCAGGGGAAGGCCGGAGGGGAGGAAGAAGAAGGAAGGGGCTCGCCGGAGGGCTACCTCATTATCTATCTTAGGGTTTAGGGTGGTGGCCGTGGTGGATGACAATGGTGGGGTGGTGGTGCGCTCCGTTGGAGAAGAACACCGGATGTGGGCGAGGCTGGAGGGATGGTCGGGGCGGTTCACGGGAGGGTGGTGCGGTGAGACGGTTGCAGGAGCGCCGCCGGCTGCAGGCGGCGGCAACAGGCGGTCCAGCAGGTGGTAGAAAAACCATCTGCCTGTTCCAGCTCCGACGTAGGCCGGTGACAGCAAAATAACTTGCTGGTTGTAGCAAATCCATCTGCCGGTTCCAGCTCCGGCGTCAGCCAGTGGCTGCAAAATTTCTTGCTGGTTGTAGCAAAATTACCCATCAGTGATAGCTTTTCTGCCGCGAGTTGCAGCAAAAAACGCAACACCGCAGTCGCTGTTGTAGCATATCTTGTCGTCGTCGGTAGCTTTTCTGTTGTCGGTTGTACCAAAAATGGCGCACCGTCATCGCCACCACAACCTCGCCGTCGTCGGTTACGACATAGCCAATCGCCGGTTGTAGCACGTGCTAATGTTGGGAAACGTGGTAGAAAAAAATCGCACCTACGCACACCCAAGATCAATATGAAGATTCTTTACGGGTTGGGATCACGATCGTTACCGACTCCGAGTTGTAGCGGAAGAAGACGAGTCGGTGTAGATCATACTTGAAGTCACTCGAACCGTAGATGAACGATCCATCAAACCGCTCACGAACCGTCCCACAACCGAAAGACCGAAAGCACGACCTCTTCATAGATTGCAAGCGTACGGTCTTCACGATCCGGCAGCGGTTCGCCGTCCAACGCTAATCGTCGCCGGAGAATTAGAGGGAGAAGAAGAGAACCGCACAGAGCTTCTCTATTATGAGGTTTAGAGAAAACTGGAACTAGATCTAGCTAGATCAAACTAGACGAGAACTAGATCAAGAGAGAAGTAGAGGTGCCTTCAAAACTTATGAACTAGATCAAGAGAGAACTACTTCATAAGTTTATATGTTGAGCCCCAAGGCCGTAACTTGGGAGTGGGCCTCTCCAGAGTCGGTTTGGAACACAAGGAAGAGTCATGCTCGGATTCTAGCACGAAACGCCAAGGTTCTTGGCGTTTTTGGAAACGCCACGAACATTTGCGTTTGGCCCAGGGCCAGACGTCATGGACCTTGTCATCTGGTCCCTAACCTCTGTAAAACCTCCATTTGCGTCGGCCTAAAGCCTCATGGGCCTTACCCTTGGCCTATCCAATGTGTCCTCGCACCAGAACAGTTATGGAAATATCTGAAACTCTTTCAGAACTCTCTTGAAACTATTGCTTATATTCCTGAAACTATTCCAAGAATATTTTCTCATAACTCTTGTTCCACTAACACTCAGCAGATCGTGATTCTCTTAAGCTTGTGACCCTATAGGTTCGGTAAAACATAGACATGAACAAAAACCCTTTTGTTCAATGACCAATAGCGGAACCGTGGACATTCATATCGGTCCCTGTGAACACACCAATGCCATTCGAGTGAACCTTTGGTTATCATGTGATGTTCCCTTTGCTTCACTATATTCCAGAAAACCCGGATGCATCAGTATCCTCCTGAGTCATCACATGTTCACTATACCGTTATCCTCGTTACCGGTTTTGTTCTTCTTTCCCGTTGTCGTATTCCGGCTCGGGCAAAGACCGGTGATTGTGCCTGGATTCCAAAAAAGCTCGACTACCAGCGGCAAGTTGAGGACTATATTTGGGAGGTGAAGCGGCAGCCTACAATTTATCCCCTTTAAACCAACAATTAGCTTCAATGTGGCCCCATCTATGACAAGTCCGCCAAGGGATTCTATTGGTGCAACTGGGCCTTCTACGGCCTGAAAGCAGACACTGGACACAGAAGGCCTGGCCTGAGTTCTAGACGCACCCATTATATTCGTAGGCCCAGACTCATTCGGGTCAAGAGTTTGAACCGTCGAAGATCCCGCCCTCCCTAAGGTGACATTATTGAGGGATGTTAACATAGGAGAAATTGACTGATGAACTGAATCAATACGTTTGAACACAGAACATGATTGAGGAGGAATACCTCCTGAAGAACGACCAAGATCAAAGAAACGTGGCTCATGAACCGCAGAAGCATAAGAACAGTGATTTCTGGAACGGGGAACAACAGACCAACCCTCCTCCAAAGAACCAATAAAAGAATGGTAGTCTGGGAACAGATCAAGGCCTTCAGATCCCAACAACAGAAAATCCACACTAAATAGGTTGTTCGATATAATACTACCCCGAATGATTTCAAAACCAAATTCATTAGGGGATCAAGGCCTTCAGATCCCAACAAGAGGAAATCCACATGAAATCAGGAAGGTCGTTTACATCGTCTACGAGTTTACTGACAATAAAGTTAGAAGGCTCGTCCAACCAACTAGATGAAGTGTTATTACAGTAATTGAAATGAGCTAGCACATGAGCCGCTTGATTCCAAGATCTATAACAATGCTTATAAACGACCTTCCCGATTAAAATACTAGTGTCCACATATTTTGCGAATATTGCCGCCGAGTAGTCTCACCATATGGTTTGTCCATCATAGTAATTGATTACTTGCAGAGAATCTAATTCGGCTTCTAATTGGTTACACCTAAAGGACTTAGCAAAAATCAGCCCGTCTCGCATGGTCAATGCTTCTGTTGTTATTGCATCCACCGCGATAGGTATAAACTTGCATGGGGCTTCCAAAAAATTACCTTTGTCATCACGCATGATAGCCGCCGTAGCACCAACCCCTTCGTCCGAGTAGTACACGTCATAATCATTTGTTCTGTTTTTTCGAAGACATAGTCGTTTGCTCGAATAGACATACCGTAATTAGGCGAAACAACCGCTACACTAGCAGGAGTATATAATTTAGTAACCACTACCCACATGCGACGATATGTGTCAGCGGAGGTAGAAGCCCGAAACAAGTGCGGGCAGGCAGTACAGCGTGCCACCGGCCACTCACATACAGACACCACCAGTGTCATATCTGAACGGTGATGTGCCTGGTCTCGTCCCCCGGGGACAGCGAGAAGGTGGCCTGCTTCGAGGTGTTGCCGGCGTTCACGGTGACCACGTACTCGCCGAGGTAGCCGCTGAAGCTGTATGCGCCGTGCGCGTCCGTCGGCCCGGCGACCTGCCCCGTCTGCCACTCCTGCAGCAGGCGGTCGACGACGTCCCCCACCGGCAGGTTCTTGAGGTTCCAGTCCGTGAGGCACATCTGGTAGCACCCGCCCTCGTGCAGCGCCGTCCAGAGCATGACGCCGCTCACCGCCGGGTGCGCGTACGCCTCCCGCAGCACCTGCTCCAGGTACACGGCCTGCGTCTGCGCGTCGAACTTGTTGTTGATGTCGATCTCGGTGAACCAGATGGGCAGGTTGAGCGTGGCCAGCTTGTCGAGCACGGCCCTCATGTAGGGGATGTTGGGCCTGGAGAAGTGGCCCTCGAGGCCGATCCCCTCCAGCACGGCGCCGCCGGCGCGGAGGTCCTTGAGCCGCGCCACGTACGCGTCCACGGTGGAGGAGGCGTCGTCGCAGGTCTCCACCACGTTGTACTCGTTCATGAAGAGCGTGGCGAGCGGGTCGGCGTCCTGCGCCACGCTGAAGAACTCCATGGTGGCGTTGGCGCCCAGCCGCTGCTCGTAGAAGTTGAAGTGCAGCATCTCGTTGTTCACGTCCCAGTGCGCGAACTCGCCGCGGTAGCGGGTCATGAGGCTCTGGATGCGCGTGTTCACGGCGGACCGGAGGTCCTCCGGTGACAGGCCCTTCACCCACCGGGGGGTGGCGTCCTGGTTCTCCCAGAAGATGTTGTGCCCGCGCACCATCACCCGGTGCGACCGCACGAACGCCAGCATCTGGTCCGGCACGTCGAACCGGAGCAGCCCCGACGCCGGCTCCGTCGAGTACCACTTGAGCTCGTCCTCGAACACCGCCGCGTTGAACCGCTCCACGAACCACTTCTGGTACGCGTCGTTGCCCAGGATGGTGGACGCGATCGCCGACCCCAGCGGGAAGTCCTTGGACGTCTGCTCCACAGACACCGACGCGCCGACCACGCGCGTGCCGTGCGGGTCGGCGACGTGGATGGTGGCCATCCTCTTCCTCCTCTGCTTATATACGAACCAAAAAACAGATCAAATTACCCGCAAACTGCCAGGGAAGATCAACAACACCAAAAGCAGCTACCTTCCGGATCGTATCTTTCTGGTGCATCGACCATTGATCCGTCGTGAACGGCTGGAGCGAGGCGCTCGCAGTGGTGATCTTCATCGGGGTCCTATCAGCATTCTGAAATGCAAAACCAACAAGGTGACACGCTTCAGCAAACAGTTTCGTTCGAGAGGCAAATCTCTGGGATTTATCACGTATGTGCACCTGGAAGAAGATGACGGAGGTCTGAGTTGGCCAGTCGAGGACGAAGCCGCCCTTGAGGAACGCCCAGCAGTTGCTCCTGGCGAGGACCGTCCCGATGCACCTCGTGCCGGAGTTGTCCGGGGCCAGCCTCGCGGTGATGAGAGCCGAGGGAGAGCCCTCCAGCTTCACCCAGCCCGAGAAGGTGTACATCGTGGACTTGTTGAGGTTGTAGACCACGAACGCCGGGGACAGGACGCCGGTCTCCGTCGTCTTGTACCCGTTGGGGTCGTCGCCGTTGCCGTACTTGAGAATCCCGCCGTTGTACTGCGCCGGCTCCGGGCGGCCTCTGCACTGAACGCCACGTACATCACACAGATTTAATTACCACTATTCCACGAGCGATGCATGGGAGTGAACTATGCTGCTCCAGTTTACTCGTCGTCAGAGCTACCATGCATACGCACTCAAACTTCCGTCAGTCCATTGTGCATGGACAGGACAGCGACAGCGTGACACAAGACTAAAAGTTCAGCTAAGCGTATATTATACAACTAATGAGCAGTAAGCAGATCATTTGGTCGGCCTGAAAACGCATGTGAGCAGTAGGCGTGTGCTGCGCTTGCTTCCAAATAAGAGCATCGAGCAGACAGACTGAACTAACTCGTCATGATACTTGCAGCCATTTCAGAACATACCGTAGACTAATGCTTCAATTATGCCACGAAAAGTGTGGTATAATACTAGTTGTCATTTGTTTGTGTGTGGTATTTTAGCAGGTTGGTGCGGGTGGGCTTGTGGTCTCCCAGCGCACACATGGGAACAAAACTGAAATAACTGAAGAAAACGTCAGGTGCACACTGTGGGAGGAAAGGAACGTTGGTGGTCCGGTGGATTTGGGCAGGCGTCGTCATTTGGCCCCCATTCTCTTCCTAGTTAGTTCTAACCCCATGACATGAGCTCCGGAAGAGCACTGCCCTCGCTGATAAACAATGCAACAACAGTTGACAAAGACCAGCTCTGTCAAACTACCACACTCTCACCAAAGAAACTCGCAGCTACTACTGGAAACTACTTGGAGAAAAGAACGCAGAACAGAGGACCGTTCAGTAAGACTTACGTCCGTGTGGGCAGTGTAATCGTACCAACCATCTGCATGCAAACAGAACATATAGTTCAGACAGTGTTACATGCAACACACTCGGACAGTAAAAGAGACTGGAAGAGGAACAGAAGCAAAGAAAGAAACTGACCAGGAGGCACGGCGCCGACAAGCCCGCCGCCGCAATGCACCATCAACCACGCGAGAAACACCACCGCATGGCCTAGAGCAAAGCTACCACGGCTCCTCATCTCGCACCAGCTAGCTAGCTAGCGCCGTGCTCTGCTCCCCCAGCTTCGTCTGCTCAAACACAGAGCTCCCCTCACAAGCTAGTAGCGAGTGGATGCTGAAGAAGAATGTATGTATGAATGTGTGTACCGGCTGCTGCTATGATCATTCAGGGCAAGGAGAGCTACTCCGTCCAGGGCTATATATAGCGGCTCCCGGGTAGAAGACGGCCGAGGCGGGGCACTTGGGCGCACCGTCGCTTGTGCGCGCCCGGGTGGCCGCTCCCCCCTCCCCGCACCTGGCGGGCCGCCATTGGCTGGCACCGGGTCACGGGCCGCCGGCCGTGGGCGCCCACCACGTCGGTACGCGCGGAGGAAGCGGTGCGTGCGCGCCTTCCTTCCATCCCGGGTTTGGTGCAGTGAGTGAGTGCCCTTGTGGTGCTCTCCAGCGCCGGGCCTAGCCAGCATGCCCTGCTCGCCCAGTGCCAGTGGGTTGGTTCACATGCGCGCGGTAAGATCGTATCACATCACAGGTCCTGCCTGTGAACAACCCCCGCCTCATTCCGCTGTCTCGTACCGGCCCCGTGCTCGTCGCCACGGGAGGGGAACGTACCCCTAAGAAAAATAAGACAGTGCTGGCCTGGAACTTTCTCATGTCGTTTCGTTCTTGGTTTTCACGGCCCGTGCGCGGGTTAAATTCTAGTGGTGGCGGCGTGGCGAGTTCACGGTCGCGGATGGCTTGTCACGTCTGTCGTGCGTGGTGCCGTGTCCGGGAGTCCGTGGAGTTAATAGAGGATGGGTTGCACTGTAGTCGTCCAGAGTTCATCGTTCGTGATGACAGGGGATCGCGTTCCCTGCAGGGCACAGCTAGGGTCGACGTTGCATTAACTAACCAGCAGCAAGCATGTGACGCAATTGAGATGGAAGGCAACATGTGACACGCCCGTCTAAGGAAGGGAAGCTGGTCATTAGTACGTACTCTAGATAGCAGCCAGTTGGTGGTTAGGTGTGGTCTATTACGAATTTACAGTTGACAACATTGGTATTCTGCCACAACAAATACTTTTATTTGAAAAGGAAGGCAGGTAGCCGGTAAAACAAAAAGCCTACCGTCCCGGCATATAAGATTAGTAGATTACACAAATAAGTTGCACCCGTTAACCCCTAATTTGCCTCGCATCTGATTTTGGCCATAATTACAGTTGACGTAGCGAACTTACTGTTGAAGATTCTTGAGTTGCACTCGTTCCACAACTGACATGACAAAAGCATTGTAATAGAAACCATAGCCTCATAAC